TTGGGATAGAGAGTACGCTTATTAAGTTTGCAGATGATACCAAACTGGGTGGGGTTGCAACTTCTTTGGAGGATAGGGACATAATTCAAAATGACCTTAGCAAGTTAGAGAAATGGTCAGAGGTAAACAGGATGAGGTTTAATAAAGAGAAATGCAAAGTGCTCCACTTAGGAAGGAACAATCAGTTCCATACATACAAGATGGGAAGCGACTGTCTAGGAAGGAGCATGGCAGAAAGGGATCTAGGGGTCATAGTGGACCACAAGTTGAATATGAGTCAACAGTGTGATGCTGTTGCAAAAAAAGCAAATATGATTCTAGGTTGTATCAACAGGTGTGTTGTAAGCAAAACTCGTGAAGTCATTCTGCCGCTCTACTCTGCACTAGTTAGGCCTCAGCTGGAGTACTGTGTCCAGTTCTGGGCGCCACATTTCAAGAAAGATGTGGAGAAATTGGAAAGGGTACAGAGAAGAGCAACAAGAATGATTAAAGGTTTAGAGAACATGACCTATGAAGCCAGGCTTCATGAACTGGGCTTGTTTAGTTTGGAAAAAAGAAGATTAAGGGGGGACATGATAGCGGTTTTCAAATATCTAAAAGGGTGTCACAAGGAGGAAGGAGAAAATTTGTTCCTCTTGGTTTCTGAGGACAGGACAAGGAGTAATGGGCTTAAAGTGCAGCAGGGGAGGTTTAGATTGGACATTAGGAAAAAATTCCTAACTGTCAGGGTGGTCAAATATTGGAATAAATTGCCAAGGGAGGTGGTGGAATCTCCCTCTCTGGAGATATTTAAGAACAGGTTAGATAGACATCTGTCAGGGATGGTGTAGACGGAGCTTGGTCCTGCCTTGAGGGCGGGGGGCTGGACTCGATGACCTCTCGAGGTCCCTTCCAGTCCTATTATTCTATGATTCTATGATAAGGCTCTCCCCAGGACTCCAGGGGAGAACAAGCAGGAAAATGACTCTACACAGGTGGACTCTCTTCATTTCTGCTCCCAGGCATCCGCCACTCCCAGAGGGGCTGCCCTGGACACCCCAAACCTCACCCTCTTGTTGGCTGTCCCAGGAGCTAGAGGAGGGGAAATACCCCCAGGAGTAACAGGGCAGTTATAGGGATGTAAGTAACGAGTCAACTAGTCGCTTCCCCCCGCCCCCAAGCCCAGAGAGGCAGCAAGTCGGGGGGGAGGGGGAGCGGGAACCGGTGCGGAGGGAAGCCGGCTTAAAAACTGGTTCCCCCCAGCACTATCTCTACAGGAGAGGCAGAGGGCTGATTCCTGGCTCGCCCAGTCCCTAAAGGGAAGTAATTAAGGGCCCAAAAGCAAGCTACTCTGCTGCATAGGAAAAATAGAACGTGCTGCACAAGACCGCCTGGGCTGAACCAGGAGATCTCGCATGATCTAAAAATAAAAAAGGAGTCCTAGAAAAAGTGGAAACTAGGACAAATGACAAAGGAGGGAAAAAAGTACAGGTGGGCAGGGGCAAGATTTCCTGCTTGTTCTTAGCACTTTTCTTGCACGCTTGCGCCTCCTCTGGAGACCTGGGGCGAGCCCTGTCTTTGCCACATCCCCTGGCGAGGAGTTCCACAGGTTGACTATGCGCCGAGTGAAGAAAAACTCCCTTTTGTCTGTTTTCAGCCTGCTGCCTATTCAAGTTGGGGAGGGGGGGCAGGTGGGCAGGGGCAAGATTTCCTGCTTGTTCTTAGCACTTTTCTTGCACGCTTGCGCCTCCTCTGGAGACCTGGGGCGAGCCCTGTCTTTGCCACATCCCCTGGCGAGGAGTTCCACAGGTTGACTATGCGCCGAGTGAAGAAAAACTCCCTTTTGTCTGTTTTCAGCCTGCTGCCTATTCAAGTTGGGGAGGGGGGGAGCGGGTCCGATGCGGAGGAACGCCTACTTAAAAACCGGTTCCTCCCAGCACTGTCTCCGCAGGAGGGGGCAGAGGGGGACTGGGCCCGAGCCAGCAATCAGCTGCTTCTCGGCTCGCCCAGTCCCAAAAGGGACATTATTAAGGGCCCAAAAACAAGCTATTCTGCTGCATAGGAAATGTAGAACGTACGGCACAAGACCGCCTGATCTAAAAATAAATAAAAAAGGAGTCCTATAAAAAGTGGAAACTAGGACAAATGACAAAGGATGAATCTAAGCGCACAATACAGGTGTGCAGGGGCAAGATTAGAAAGGCAAAGGCACCAAACGAACTCAAACTAGCTACAGGCATAAAGGGAAAGAAGAGTTTCTATAAATACATGAGAAGCAAGAGGAAGACCAAGGAGAGGGTGGTAGGCCCACTGGTCAGTGAGGAGGAAGACACAGTAACCGGAAACTTGGAAATGGCAAAGATGCTTAACAACGTCTTTGTTTCGGTCTTCACCCGGAAGTCTGACGATGAAGGAACGCCCAACACAGTGAATGCTAGTGCACAGGGGGTAGGTTTAGAAGATAAAATAAAAAAAAACACAAGTTAAAAATCACCTAGAAAAGTTAGATGCCTGCACATCACCGGGGCCTGATGAAATGCATCCTGGAATACTCAAGGAGCGGATAGACGAGGTATCTGAGCCTTTGGCGATCATCTTTGAAAAATCATGGAAGTCGGAAGAAATTCCAGAAGACCAGAAAGGGGCAAATCTAGTGCCCAGCTATAAAAAAGGGGAATAAGAACAGCCCAAGAAACTACAGAGAAGTCAGTTTAACTTCTGTGCCAGGGAAGATAATGGAGCAAGAAATTAAGGAATCCATCTGCAAACAATTGGAAGACAATAAGGTGATGCCAGCGTGGATTTGTAAAGAACAAATCATGTCAAAGCAATCGGATCGCTTTCTTTGGTAGGATAACGAGTCTTGTGGATTAGGGAGAAGCAGAGGACGTAGTATACCTAGACTTTAGTAAGGCATTTGATATGGTCTTGCACGATCAATAAACTAGGTAAATACGACCTAGATGGGGGGTTCTATAAGGTGGGTGCATAACTGGTTGGATAACTGTTCTCAGAGAGGTGTTATTAACGGTTCACAAGAGGACGTAGTATACCTAGACTTTAGTAAGGCATTTGATATGGTCTTGCACGATCAATAAACTAGGTAAATACGACCTAGATGGGGGGTTCTATAAGGTGGGTGCATAACTGGTTGGATAACTGTTCTCAGAGAGGTGTTATTAACGGTTCACAATCCTGATGGAAAGACATAACAAGTGGGGTTCCGCTTCTGTAAGGTGGGTGCATAACTGGCTGGATAACTGTTCTCAGAGTAGTGTTATTAACGGTTCACAATCCTGATGGAAAGACATAACAAGTGGGGTTCCGCTTCTGTAAGGTGGGTGCATAACTGGCTGGATAACTGTTCTCAGAGTAGTGTTATTAACGGTTCACAATCCTGATGGAAAGACATAACGTGGGGTTCCGCAGGGGTCTGTTTTGGGACTGGTTCTGTTCAATATTTTCATCAACAATTTCGATATCGGCATAGAGAGGACGCTTGTTAAGTTTGCAGATGATCCCAAGCTAGGAGGGGTTGTGACTGCTCTGGAGGAGAGGGTCAGAATTCAAACTGATCTGGACGAATTGGAGAAATGGTCGGAGGTCAATAGGATGACGTTGAATACGGACAAATCAAAGTGCTCCACTTAGGAAGGAACAATCCGCGTCTCACACACAGATCGGGAAGCGACTGTCTAGGAAGGAGTCCAGCAGAAAGGGATCTCGGGGTGATAGTGGACCACACGCTGAATAGGAGTCAGCAGCGTGACGCTGTTGCAAAAAAAGCAAACGTGATTCTGGGTGGCATTCACAGGCGTGCGGTGAGCAAGACACGAGGAGTCATTCTTCCGCTCTACTCCGCGCCGGTTAGGCCTCCGTTGGAGGATTGTGTCCAGTTCTGGGCACCGCATTTCTAGAAAGAGGTGGAGAAATTGGAGAAGGTCCGGAGAAGAGCAACAAGAATGATGGAAAGTCGAGAGAACAGGAGCTAGGAGGGACGACTGAAAGAATCGGGCTTGTTTAGTTTGGAAAGGAGAAGACGGAGAGGGGACATGAGAGCAGTTTTCAAGTATCTAAAAGGGTGTCACAAGGAGGGGGGAGAAAACTTGTTCATCTTGGCCTCTGAGGGCAGGACAAGCAGCAATGGGCTTAAACTGCAGCAAGGGAGGTTGAGGTTGGACATTAGGAAAAAGTTCCTAACTGTCCGGGTGGTGAAACACTGGAATAAATTGCCCAGGGAGGTTGTGGAATCCCCATCTCTGGAGATATTTAAGAGCAGGTTAGATAAATGTCTATCAGGGATGGTCTAGACAGCATTGGGTCCTGCCATGAGGGCAGGGGACTGAACTCGATGACTTCTCGAGGTCCCTTCCAGTCCTAGTGTTGTGTGATTCTATGAAAATGCTGCACCTCTGCCGGCTCTTAACACTTTTAAAAAGCAGCGAGAAGAGACCCGGCGTGAGCCGGCTGTCCTGGCTCGTGCTCGGTTCTCTGCGCGGCGCACCCACCTTTTCAACACGGTCCGACCCTGCGGGGTCTTAGTACGTCGGAAAAGACGCGCCGCTGATCGACGGATCCGTGGAAGTTCCATCGACCAATCGGCTCGTTGATGAAACTTAGTTGAACGCCCCAGGGCTGTTGCCAGAAATTCCCCGCAGGGGAGAGGAGGGAGCGAATAGAGCGGAAGGGTCAGTCTGTGGGGAAAGGGGTCCCCGGTTCCCAGACCTGCCCCGTGCCCCCCAGAATATCCTGGGGCGAAGGGGAGGGGACTGTCTCTGTCTAGTCCCTCTGCAGCTGCCCTAGGGACAGTGTCCACCCCCCCAAGTTGGTCCTTTCGTTCAGATGTTTTCCAGAATTTGCCCCCAAGATGGTTTTCCTCGGTGGGTTTAGATCTGGGGCAGGGGCGGGGCTGTGGGGTTAGCACCTCCCTGAGGATCCCCCCGCACAGAGGAGGGGGGGGAACCAAGTATGACAGGGACAACAGTTAATTCACAACCCCCCTCCCTTTCTTCTCCCAACAGGCGGCAGCGTGACGGCCTCGTTTCTCCGCCGGGGCCGGGCAGAGACATGGCTGGGCTGGAGCCGGCTCTGGCAGGGGAGTTTTGGGAGGCGTTTTAGGGGGGCTATTGCGGAGGGGGAGGGGCAGGACATACACAGGGAGGGGGCAGGGTAGGATAAACCTGCTAAGACCTACTCAGCCTGGGCCCTGATTTATTCCTTGGCCAGTGTATGTGTGTGTGGGAGGGGGAGGTGTCAATATTCCCCCATTTCTGACTCAGGAAACTCCCCCTGGGGCAGGGCTGGGCAAACAGAGCACAGGGCAGAGCCGGAGGAGGGGGGGTACAAAGGGGCGGAGCTGGGATTCCGTTCCCTGTCGCCTCTGCTCCCCCCTCGGCCTGTGGGGCAGGGGGTGACTGAGAAG